TCCTATGGAAGTAGAAATTAACTAAACGTTCGCTCTGTTCTGCTCGCTCGTCGCCATGGACGCGCACCATTATGAATGCCAGTGCAGCCGCATACTTTTTAGTGTCACTAAAATTAGTGCAATTTCGGGGGCCGATTGCTTGAATTGTGAGTTCAATAGTCTATTATTTTTCACGGAAAACACAACAATAAAAGAGTACAATGACAGATTCGCTTAAATAGGCGTTTTTACATAAAATAGCCTATTCCATCATCATCTTTTCAGTCAGCTCTTCACTCTCGTGATTAATGAAATTTGACTCCTGTTGCTGATATTTGCTGCAACTTTCGTTCAGCTCACAATTTAGTAAGCAAACACGTTTCAAATGTGTTTTTATTTTATTTTTGTGTATGTGTGTGTATATGTATGTATATATATAAATATAGCTTATGTTTCAAATATGAGTTAATTAACAATCGTTGGAAAGAATGATACTTTTAAACATAACACTAAACCGTCATTAGGTGTCGCCAGGCGACCGTCTTAATGAGCGAGTCATTGATTCATTCGTTTGAACGACTGAGTCATTCATGAATGAGATAGATGTTTATGGATTGATTGGTCATTGAATCTTTGAGTCAACCGATTCGTTCAAAATGCTGAATCATTCAGTAATGAGAACGCGTTGCTGTGAGATGCGCGATGGTTCTGCTGTGATCTTTGTTTAACTATTTTCGCTGCTGAAACAGAAAAAAAGTCAATATTGCATGTAAAATGTAAGTGATTTGACTTGTGTGTGTGTGTGTGTGTGATTGTGTGTGTGATTGTGTCTGTTACAGTGATAAGAGTTTAACCCTTGTTAAACTTTAGGCCTTGTCTTTTTGGATATATATCTTTTTATATTAAAAAATAGTCATACAACCCATATATTTTAAATGTATTGTTTGCTTTAAATTACATTAAGATTGTATGTTTGGTAATTGAACCTGAATGAATTTTAAATGAATGTGCTATATTTCAGATCATATATTTGTTTTCCTTAAAATTTGAACTAACACTAACTTTATTCTCATCTGAATGATAGATTATTTATTTCTGTATAAAATAAAAACACATTTGATTTTTCTTTTTTAATCAATGTAGAATGTGTAACTGAAAAAATAAACAGATTAGGGCTCTGTTTGATGACAAGAAATGAAAACCAATGCGATATGATGAATGTCCAAAAGATGGCTCCCACAGACTGTTTTTAAATAGGATTGTTTGATATTTTTTGCTTTTAAACTGTGTGTGTGTGTGTGTGTGTAAGAGATTTTGGTTGGGTGACAGTTGTAGTTTACAGTTTGACAAGAGTTTATAGCTTGACAAAAGCACAATGTTGTGTTTTATTGCAAGTGTACACAAATATAAGTAAACACTTTGCAGTTTGAATAATGTCCTGTATGAACAAAAGGACGGAGTATGTTTTTATGTCTACATTGTTCAATTACGCCACACACACACACACAAACACACACACACACACACACACACACACACACACACACACACAAACACTATTTTTCTAATCAGATCAGGCAAGTAATATTCTGTCTTGTCTCTTAAAAAAACAATATATATTTATGTATATATATATATATATATATATATATATATATATATATATATATATATATATATATGTATGTGTGTGTGTGTGTGTGTTTGTGTGTGTATATATATAAATATAGCTGCGAGCAGCGATGAAAGGGCCAAAGCCGGCGGCACCGCCACCCCGGTTATAGCGCCACCAACTGGCAGCAGGAAGTCTGTCACTTTCAAAAAGCTTTGAAATCACCTGATTGCTTCAAACTTCACTACTATGATGTAAACACACGGCAGATGTAGACCTGGATGTAGACCTGACCTTTCAGAAGGTTGCTCTCGCATACTTTGTGGTTGATATGTGCCCTCAATGCACACTTTTGCAGAGCCCACACTGATACAAGCTCTACAGCACACTTCTTTTCGACAGTCAAAGCAGGGTTACGTTTTTGCACGTCGTGCACAATAACCCTAAAGGCACCAGGGTGGCGGTGCCACCGGCTTTATATATATATATATATATATATATATATATATATATATATATAAAAATATAAATATAGCTGCGAGCAGCGATGAAGGGCCAAAGCCGGTGGTACCGCCACCCCGGTGCCTTTAGGTAACTAAAGGCACCGGGGTTGCGGTGCCACCGGCTTGGGCCCGTAATCGCTGCTCGCAGCTATATTTATATATATATATATATATATATTTTTTATTATTATTCTTCCGCCGTAAAACGCATCGTGCAGCCCAAACCGTAAATGCTAGAGACTTGAAACTTTGTCAGATGGTAGTACAAAAATCGAGGAGAGCTTATCAAATTATGAGCCCGATTGGCCCATAGGTGGCGCTATAGCAACCAATTGCGCAAAACTGCTCATAACTCCTAGACCGTAAGTCGTAGACTCAAGTGTCTTATATCATTGGAAAGCTGGACTCCTGACTTAAAAAACGTATATCTCCGATTTCATTTGCGTCATGATAGATTTTCCGCCATTTTGAATTTTGTCAAAAAACGACTTTTGCAAACTAGTCCCTGATTTTTCGCCCGATCGGAACCAAACCAGTGCACAAATGTTCTGTGGAGTCTGAACATAAATTATAATCGAAAAAAAGTTGAAATTTCGATTTCCGGTCGCTAGGGGGCGCAAAAAGAACGTTGTGGGAGGAGCCTATTTTTCTAAAATGGCTATAACTCCAGAAGTAAATTAGATAGGCTCACCAAACTTGGTACACATGTGCATGACTTCAATCTGAGGTCACAGTAAAAAAATCGCGATGATCGAACACTAGGTGGCGCTATAACATGAAAAAAACATATAAACGACTGACCGTTAGTCCGATTGACTTGAAAATTGGTATGCAGTGTCTTGGTCCAAGGCCCCATGTATATCTATGAGGACATTGACGTATCTCAAAAAACATGGCCGCCATCGACCAATGAAGTTTGAGCCCCTATGAGACGAGGTTAACGGAGGCCAATCGGAACGAAACTCGATGGACATGTTCGACTCATGGCCTAAGAGGTCTGTAAGAGTTTTGAAAGAAATCGGCCACTAGTTGGCGCTAACGAGTTTTATGGCTCTGTAATCACGTGGTGTTGCACACATCCCCCCAAAATGCATATCATTTGATAGATCTCCTCATGGTGAACAACTTTGCCTCTAGAACCATTGCTGTTAATCAAATCGTTCATTAAATATTCACGAATATGTTAAAAACCTACTTTTGCGAACTAGTCCCTGGTTTTTCGCCCGATCAAAACCAGACCAGTCTAGGACAATTCTCTGGACGCTCTAGATCAATAATTATCAAAAAAAAGTTGAACTTTGCCCTTTGGTTCACTGTAACAGGGTCATTTAGAAGAGGGGCGTGTCAAAATACACTCAAAAGCCTATAAATCGTAAATGAAAACGCAGAACTTGACAAAAATTGATGAGAATATGTGTCATACCATGGTGAGGAAGCATGCAAAGTTTCATGGAGATCGGACCATAGGTGGCGCTATAACTGTTAAAAAGCTTTAAAACCATATATTTCCTATGGTAAATTGCCTGTATTGGCTGTAAATGGTCTTTTCCATCTATGATCGTATACTTTTCATATCATAATGTTTAAAACCAGTGCAGTACAATTCTCGGGACTCTCTAGATCAATAATGATCAGAAAAGGTATAACATCTTAATTTGGATGGCTATAATAGGGTCACTTCAATATGTAGCCTTGACCAAATGTCCCCAAAAACCTATATCTCTTCAATGAATGCTCAGATCTTCTTAAAAAAAGGTCAGGACATATCACTCTAAACAAGCTTGACAAATTTTAGACAGATCGGACAAAATTTGCCTCTATAACAGTTAAAAAGGTGAAAATGATATGAATATAGTGGCATATTAAGCCAATAAGTGGTGTTTTACTGCCCCCTGCTGTTTAAAATAGTAATTTTGTCATAATGCTGACTATCATTGTTCTATAATTCATTTTTAGAATTAACATAATCACTATTTTAACATTTACAATCACATTTAGTCAAAATTCATTGTCACATTGACAAATGTGAACCCTGAATGAGACAGTTTAATCTACAATAGAATGTGTGTGTGTGTAGTCCCATGTTTCTGAATAAATTCTGAATAATCTGATTAATAGCTTGCAAAGACATGAAATGCTTATAGACCATTAAAATATATTTTCATAATGACTTTGTGTGTGTGTGTGTGTGTGTGTGTGAGCAAATGTCTACATATGAGTGCAAAAGCACCTGTGAAAACACTTTATTAATGAGTAGAATGGCCAGCAGAGGGCAGTAGAAGACCACTTATTGGCTCACTCTCATTTTGACACACTTGATTTTCAACAGTAAATCAAAGCACTAAAGCAAACCAGTTTTTCCATGTTAACTATTATAACACAATCATTTTTTGTCAGAGTTTATCACTTCATTTTTATTGGCACTTCACATCAATGCAGCAATGTGGGCAATCATGGTAAATCACGATAGAAACATGGTAAATCATAGTAAAAAATACTATTACATGGTGTATCATGGCAAATCATGCTAGCAATGTGATGAATCATGGTAAATCATGCTACGATCCTGGTAAATCATTCTACAATGTGGTATATCATGGTAAATCATCCTATAACATGGTAAAACCTGGTAAACTGTGGTAAATCATGCTAGATTCATGGTAAATCATACTGGAACATGGTAGATCATGAAAAATCACACTAAATTTGGTATATCATGGTAAATCATGCTAAAACATGGTCTATTTCATCTATGATGTCAATGGTTAAACGCTTGCTACATAAAACTTAATGTCTTTTGATGCTTTTGTGCTTAACGGCCTTAAAGGCCTTAACTGCTTGAACACCGCTAAATGCTGCTTGCAGCTTTAATTTTTATTATTTTTTTTTTATGTTTTCTCCTCCAGATTTTGCCGAAGAAAGTCAGATTTGGCCTCAAGAATAATAAAACCATGGGTATGTATGTTTTATTTGTATAAATGAGCTTCTAGTTAATGAATGAAATTGAGTGAGCAACATTAGAGTTTGTGAAGCTTGAGGGATTCTCAGGCACTTCTGTCAACAAATCTGTAAATCATTATAATATTTGAGGAAATGCTAAGAGGTTGAGTAATGTGTGTGTGTGTGTGTGTGTCCCGCAGAGTTCAGGAAGAGTGACCGCAGCTCGCGGGTGGGCGTGGCCAGCCAGGCCCGCGTGCCCTTTGACCCCCAGAGGACCCCGAAGACCAGCGTGTTGAAGTCGCCCTCGCCGTCACCCGCCGGCACCAGGAGAGCCACGGCCGCGGACTTCTTTTAAAATAAAGATCTTTCTTCTCTGTGAACTTTAATCTACTGGAGTCTCTTTAGAAAAAGAACATGCCTAAAGATATATTTTATATTCACTTTTAAAAGTGTTCTCATGTTTTGCTCTCCGTCCTACATTTAAAGTGAGAGTTGCAATATTTTACGCTGGCTTTTTTAGACCATTCAGTGTCATAAATGTTCTCATAATGAGTGAACACTGTCAGGAACGAGGGTTTAGTTTGTCCCGTTGGTGAACCGGATGCTCATCCCTGCTCCAGTGAGTGAATCCCAGTGTCTGGAGAAGCTGTACATGACCCGATGATGATGATGGAGTTCAGTCGCACGCATGAAGTCTGACTGCTTTACTACATGAAGCGCCAGAGGTTTGCTTGCGCTGTCGGGATGAGTGATGGAAGTGTGTTTTCACGTGTATATCAAGACTGAATAAATTTTCTATTACAGTGAACATCACATTCTCATACTTGCTCTTGAGTTTGTAACAGTTGCAGTGCTGTATAAATCAGGTTAAAGTCCCCCTGTAGTCAAATTGATCCTTTTTTGAAGATATTTTGAAGAACGATTGGAACCAAACAGTTGTTTGGCACCATTGACTTCCATAGTTTTTTTTTTTTTCTACTATGGAAGTCAATGGTGCCAAACAACTGTTTGGTTCCAATCGTTCTTCAAAATATCTTCCTTTGTGTTCAGCAGAAGAAAGAAACTCACACAGGTTTGCAACAACTAAATGACAGAATTTTCATTTTGGGGTGGAGTATCCCTTTAAAGCTCATCTTTGATCACCAAAATGTTCCCTTGGAAAAAAATTCTTCATGCCTTTAAATATCTTGAATGTAACTCGACACCCTCACCTCATTTAGTATGCGTGGTTCTATGAATATGCAAATGAGCCCCGCCTCCACTCACTCAGCTCAGAGATCCACTGGTTGACGATCACACGTTGATCTGATTGGTTACAAGGTCGTTTGTGACGTCAGAAACACCAGCGATTTCAAACCGTGTTTTTGAGACTGTCTTTGGTTCACTGCAGTTTTAAGGTGGAAATACTCAGCAATGCTGTCGACTTATGAACTTACACATGGTGTGTCTTAAAGCGTATTAAAAACACCACAGACACATAAACAACATTAAAAGCTGGATTTCCACCACAGGGGGACTTTAAATAAACGTTGCTTTAAGGCTATGTGGACAATTGAATAGTTTTTAAAATGCTTTAAAAGAACCAAGAAGGAAGACTTGGAAATCGCTGTCTAATGCAGTTTTGTAATATGTCATTGTTTTGAACTTAAGTTTAACACTTTGGAAAGAGTATGTAAATGGCCTGTAGGTAAACAGAGTTTTGGCACTGATTGTGTTTGAGTAATTTGAAAGATGTCATTGAATGCTCCGCAGTTTAACTCGCATAGACTGATGCTGTGATCACTGTGTAAAGAGTTTTGAAAACGTGACCCGAGTAGTGAGAAATGTGTCCAGGTGATTGTAACCGAAACGGATGAAAACTGCCTCCTTTGTCCCATCTGTCCTGTGGTCAATATCACGAGTCCTCATCATTAGTTGGAAACTGTGCATGAACTAACTGCTGGTCTTGTGGTGGTGTGCCGTCTTGGCCAGGTCTCCCTCGGTAAAGAGTTTTCGGTCTCAAGGGACTTCCTGGTTAAATAAAGGTAAGAGAACCATAGGTGCAGAGACCAGCGCTCGGGATGGGGATGCCAGATTGAGCCGCGGGCTTGAGAGAGGAGAAAAGGGCTGTGCGTGACAGCCGCGTCAGCTCCGGGAACCAGATTTGGTTCACCCATCGCGGGGCTATGAGGAGCACCGAGTGGCGCGTTTCCCTGATTCTCTTGATTACCTGTGGCAACAGTGAGACCGGAGGGAAAGCATAAAGCGGGCGGCTGGGCCAGATTTGGGCCAGCGCGTCCTCGTTTCTTGAAAAGAACATCGGGCAGTGAGCGTTGTCTTTTGACGCAAAAAGGTCGACTTCCGCTTTGCCGAAAAGGCGCCACAGCAACTGGACTGTCTAGGGGTGCAGGGACCATTCCCCCGGGGAACGTTGTCCCTGGACAGTCTGTCTGGGCCGCCGTTCAGGTGGCCTGGCAGTGGCACATGCGCAGTAAGTGCTGAGACCATTCAAGGAGGCGTTCTGTCAGATCGCAGAGATTCCTGGATCCGACACCGCCCTGACGGTTCACGTCAGACACCACAGACATGTTGTCCGACCGGACTAAACCGTGGTGGTCTCGTATGAACGGGGGGAAGCGCTTCGCTATCATCTACAGCAGGGGTCTCAAACTCAACTTAACTGGGGGCCGCTGGAGGTAGAGTCGGGGTCAGGCGGGGCCGCATCAAGTATTCCACAAAAAAAAGTATTCAATTATTTCAAAAAAGGAGCACAACTGATCCAATCTTCTCAATCTTTATTATTAATGTTTCTTCTGAACAGTTCCTCTGAATTTGAACATTACGTTCTGTACATAATTGGTTCTTCATGAGCTGTATAGTTGAAGTTCATTTTTACAAACATTCTTTTTCTTTTCCTTATAACACATATTTGTGATACTTATATTTGCTCATGTCCTTTTTATTTTCTTTATACAACACATTAATGATATTGAATGTTTTTTGGAAGGCACATTTCCTTTTATTATACTTAGAAAAACGATTATTGCTTTTGAAATACAAATATTTGCAGTCATGTCTGCCCGGCGTGTTCACATATCGCGTCTTTTCAGCGCTCAAGTTCGTTATTTCAAATGTAGGTGCGCGGTATGCGCGCTCATAGTGGGTGCGACACGGTCGCGGTGCGACGCGCTCGTTTTTTCCAAGCGCGTGCGCGGCGCATCGAGATACAAACATCTCAACTTTTCAGAACGCCACCAGCGCACCGTAGCTTAGCAACGACAGACGCCTACGGAGCGCAACCGCCCTTTGGAAAAAGGAGAACGCAGCGCGCCTGGCGTTTTCTACGCGTTTTTAGGCGCTATATGTGAATTCAGCCTTATTGAATTATTTCTACACATGTATAGTGTCTCAGGCAAATTACTGACTTTGCACAAATCAAAGCCTTCTTATGAACCTGTTGGACACATATTACAAGCTCAAAATGATTACTCTCACATTGTTTTAGAGCAGGGGTCTCCAACACGTCGCTCGCGAGCTACCAGTAGCTCGTGGCATGTTCACATATCGCGCTCACATATTTTGCGTGCTCAAGTTCGTTATTTAAAATGTAGGCACGCACCAAGCGCGCTCATAAGCGTAATAATGTCAAGTAGGGGGCCACAAAATATCACCCCGCGGGCCACGAGTTTGAGACCACTGATCTACAGACAGTTTATATGAAGCCGTTTCTCGTGGTCTGACACCAGAGGCCAAAGTCTGCCCTCGAAGAGAGCGCCCCAACCTAAGTTGAAATGCATGTCTGAGTCACCCTGATTTGTCTGCAGCCGGACGCCCAAGCCCGGTGAGGTACCCGAGCGCTCAGCCAGCGCTGTAGCGGGCGCATGCACAGTAGGCCCAGCTGAAGCTCTGCTGCAGCCGACGCCATACAGCCCAGCATCCTCTGAACTGCTTTCAGAGAGGCGACCCTGCCCTTCTGGGAAGATGCGGCCAGGTGTCGAACACGGCGCGCAGCTGTGTCGATAAACGAGCCGTCATAGCCACAGAGTCCAGTTCTATCCCCAGAGAGGAAACTGACTGACTGGGCAGTAATGAGCTCTTGGACCAGTTGACCGTGAGACCCAGGCTTTCCAGATGACTGAGGAGCACTGTTCTGTGAGATAAGAGCTCTATCTCTGACTATGCCAGAATCTAGCCTGGCTAACGTCAGACCCAAGTCTCCCAAGTCAAGTCTCATTGAGACTTTGGGTCTGAGACTCATTGAGACTTGGGTCTGGGAACCACATGTTCATTTTCTCGTATTTGAGGCGTGGTTTACGAATGCCCAGAGCCGTTTATTGGGGGCTGAGAATGTCTATCAAATGTGCCTTTACGTACCTCATAGCCAATCGTTTCCATTATACCAGATGACGTATGTAGAGCGACAGAAATTAGACGAGGAAGAAGACGATGGGTCAGAGATTTATGTGTACCCATTCGCGGAGGAGATCGGCCTGCAGGATCTGGAGAACAGCCATAAAGTGCAGGTCCGGCGGCTGAAAACGCAGACGTGGTCCTGCAGGCTTTGGACGCCATCTTGCAGAGGGTGGACAAAGGTGCTCTGCTACCGCCTCCTGCACTGGGGGAATAGAATTATATCCCTTCTCGGCAATATGCACCATTAACCGTCCTTCGGATGAGACGTTAAACCGAGGCCCTGACTCTCTGTGGTCACAACAAATCCCAGGATGTCTTTTGAAAGAGTAGGGGTGTAACCCCGGTGTCCTGGCCAAATTTGCCCAGTGGCCTCTGTCCATCATGGCCTCCTAACAATCCCCATATATATACCAATTGGCTTCATCACTATGTCTCCTCGCCACCAGTAAGCTGGTGTGTGGTGGGCGTTCTGGCTCATCATCCAGGTGGAGCTGCACATTGGTGGTGGTTGAGGAGATTCCCCCTTCTATGTAAAGCGCTTTGAGTAATGATGAAGTGCTATATAAATGTAATGAATTATTATTATTATTATTATTATTAACCCTTTAGATAGGCCTTGTTTTTTTTTTGTCTGAATTTCTCACCATCAAAAGGCAGCAGATGCATAAATACACTGACTTTGTTTTTGTTTACTCTATGTAGTTGCTGAGGTGCATAGTTTGATTTTCTCAGACGCATCACGGTGAGTTCTCACTCTCTCTCTCTCTCTCTCTCTCTCACACACACACACACACACGCTATTATACTCCATATAACTCCATGTAAAAGCCAGAAACTAAGCTTTTTTTTTTGCACAGGCCTATCTAAAGGGTTAATGGTGGCACCTGGTTATCGGCAGTAAAAATGACAGATTTTACCTCTTCCCAACAGGGAAAACCACCAACAATCAAAAATGCATGATTATATGGTCTCATGGCTTTGCAATCAA